GGGAGCCCGATGCGGGACTCGATCCAGGGACTCCAGGATCATGACCTGAGCCGAAGGCAGTCGCTTAACCAACTGAGCCACCCAGGCGCCCGAACACTTCTGTTCAAAAGTTCTATATTCTTTTCCAGAAGAAGCCTCTTTCAAAGATTGCTTTGAAAAACTCCCTATCAACCCTGAGTTATACAGTTAGGGGCTCTACAATTAGGATTCACCTATAATTTGAAGAATGTGCGATTTTAGTTTTGCAGGAAAAGACTGCCAAGGAGCTCTGGGCTCTGCCATGATGGGTGCAAGAGTATCTGGCTTCATGATTAGGTTGTAGGTCTGGAAGCTTGAGAACATCATCTGGTTTTCAGCAGGTAGTTAATAGAGCAGCAATTTGTCCACAACAGCTAGATATGGATTAAAACTCCTCTAAGGGAATTTTGAGTGCATCCTCTCTTCTGCTTCCCGGTTGTGTCTTCCAAAGAATAGTCTCTTTAAGAAGACTGGATTCTGCTAGTAGGACCCTGAGTGTGCGAAGATGAGGACATGGCAAAGATAATGGGGGAGCAGAGAAGTAGCCGTGAGGAGCTGGATGGGAGAGAGACGGGCAGCACAGTAGCTGAGAATAGATGTATATTCTGTCTGACTATCTGGATTCGTTTATACTTCTGGGCTCTCTGAATCTCCAGGCAGGTGCATTCTACTTGAATAACTCTTTAAACGTTAGTGAAAATTATGGGGCACCTGGGTGGCTCAGTCAGTTAAGCATCCAACTCTTGATTTCGGCTCAGGGCGTGATCTCAGGGTCCTGGGATGGAGCCCAGTGTGGGTTTCACACTCAGCAGGGAGTCTGCTTGAGTCTCTCTCTTCCTCTGCCTCTGCCCTCTCCCCACCCCTGCTCTCTCTCTCTAAAATAAAATAAACAAATCTTTAAAAAATAAACATTAGTGAAAATTAGGCACAACATTCCAGTGATATATCCAGCCAGCAAAGTTTTCTTTTGTCACAAATAGTATGATGATTGCTTTCAAAGGTTCTGAAGTCAACTTCTGTGTTGAAGTTCAGGTTTTTGCTTACCATCTGTTTAACCCAGCAAATTATTCTCAAACCACAGCTTCTCCATTTTTAAGATGGGGAACATGGCAGTGCCTACCTGTATGAGAGTTCTCTAGAACCCTAATCACAGAACCAGTAGGACATAGTTAGATGATGATTTTTGGAGGAAGTGGCTCAGGCCATTGAGGGGACTGACAAGCTTGAAATGTGTAGGGCAGGCAGGCAGGCTGGAAACTCAGGTACACGGTTGGTGTTGTCGTTTCTGAAATCTATAGATTGGGCCAGCAGGCAAGATTTGAAGCTGTAGTCTTGAGGCAGAATTTCTTCTTCTCTGGGAAACCTCATTTTCGTTCTTAACGCCTTTAACTGATTGGGTAAGGCCCACCCATACTATCAAGGATAATCTTTATTTAAAGTCAACTGATTGTAGATATTAATCACATCAACAAAGTACCTTCACAACAACATCTAGATTAGTGTTTGATAAATAACTAGGTACTACAGCTAGCTAAATTGACATGTACGACTTATCATCATACCACCTTATAGAATTGTAGTAGTAAAATGAGCCCAAATCCCTGTAAATCATTCAGTGCATTACTGAGCACAGGAGAAGCCCTTAATAAAGATTTCTATGGTTATTTTACTTTAGCCATTGCTAACCCAATGAATTTTTCCAACTTTCAAGTTTCTTGGCACCTATTACCATGTGTTAACGTTAGTAGAAACAGGTTTTTAATGCTACTCTCAAATTGTGGCATTGTTTTCCTCCCTTAGCTCTTTTTTTTTTTTTTTTTAAGTTCTGCTAAGATTTTACAGACTCAAGGGAGAAGGAACAATTGGAAGCAGGAACTTGGATGGAAGGGACGTAGGTGGTAGAGCTACTTCTCTACTCACCCCAAAGGAAATTATTCCCCCTTCAGATATTTCTTAAGAAGGAATGGTCTAAAAACAGGAGACATAAAATACTTGAGAATGTAGACTTTTATCATCACTCTTCTGTTGGGGTTTCCACTTACACAGAAGAGAAAACTGACGGGGGAAAATCAGTTTGTTAATTTAACTGTTTATTCTAGCAGAATATGAAAAACCAATGAAACAGGACCTAAGTCACTGTAGGCCATGGTTAATCAGAGGCAACTATGGAGCTAAAACATGTAACAACTGTCTATTTTCAGTTAAACCATAAATGAATTATTACTAGAACTAGAAACAAATCTCAATGAAATCAAGTGAAACCCAAGTGATGGTATTAAAAAAAAAAAAGCTACTTGGTAATTGGAGTTGAAGGAGAAAGAAACACAATAAAAACCCAAAGACTCACACTTAGGAACACAAATAATGTAAGGAACATTTAAGTTTATTTTGAAGAAAAGTTTAAACTAACAGAATGGTTTATGGCTTTTTAATTTTTTTTTTTTTTTTTTTTTTAAAGAAAAGACACACGAGTTTACTGTTTGGGATGTTTATGAGAGGATAAGCCAAGGGCGAAAGCCAACCTACTGAGGATGGTAGAACAAAAGGAAGGAAATACTCTGAGTCTTTAATGACTTTAAACGTCTTTCATGACATTGTCAAGCCACCATAACTTTCACTCTCATGGTTGTTTATAACAATTTCAATTGGGTATTTATTCTCACCTGAAAGACTCCTAACAGATTTCCTGTTCTTGTTCTATACAGATTATCCAGTGGTGTGAAGGTGGCTCATATGTGTTGCAAGAGCCAATTTTCAAATTTTCAAAAAATGTTGTTTGCTGGTTGACAACACAGCATGAAATCAATCACGGTGGGAATTTTCCCACCTCAGAAATTGGTAAATACTACAAATCAGACCTCCCCCAACCAGGAGTCAGTCGTTAAACATCTATCAGCACACAACTGGCTACTTCTTTTTACTCAACAAAAATGTTTCCAAAAAGCCATCTGACTCAAAATGCCACAGGCACCTATTATACTTGTAGAGATACTCGATTTTCACTTTATCTGATAACAAATGAATGAGCACATTTTAGCTTGATGTTGTTCTGTCACCCCCAGGTACAGAATGATGTGGTTAATGATCAATAAAACATTTATTTTCACTAAAGGAGGGATAATGGAGAGGAACTCCGTGATGAGCCCTTTATAAAATTTGAAAAAGGACCTTCTCCTATTTCATACTTCCAGTATCGCTGGCTGGGTACAGAGTCAGCATCTCCTGAACCCAGTCATGCTAGGATTTGTCCTCAAGCCTCCCTTTCCCCACCTCTTCTGGCTCTCTTCACTCTGTCCCATGCCAGGAAGGGTGCATAGTTCTGCTTTAAAGACACCGCACTGGGTACTGCTAGGTAGGGTTCTTCCTCTGCCTCCCTAAAAATGCTCAAGGGATTGTGGCTTTTCCGTTTTCTGTCTGGAGTGGTAAAAACACAGGGCTACTCTCACAAGGGAAGAGGCACCTCCAGCTTTGATTTTGTATTTGACGCCCACATGAAGGCCTCCTTTTGGGAGAAGGCTTGGCCGTCTTGTTTTTGGCTTTCTTCCT